CATGTCGAAACATGAAAACTCGTAGCTTAGTAAGAAAAGTCGTGAATTTTTTTGGAAAGTCGTGAATTAAAAGTGAAGCAGGTATATTTAATTCCTTTTGGTCTTGAATATACATATTTTATGGTACTAGAGTGAAAACATCAAGTGTTGCCTCACAATAATGCCCTCCTATGAATCGATTAGTGTTTTTATTCGCGCTGAGGCCGTTCATAAATCACTTTACAACATATCTTAGCGCTATATCTAAATTTTCTCATGGACGTGTACGCGCCGGGAAACCTGTTTCTGTTGTGTGTGGCTGACGTAGCCGTTGCAGCGTCGCAAATATTGCGGGTTCACTGGGCTACTCTGTGTGAATAATCATATGCTATAAATCGGCACTAATTTTGAATGTATGCAATCGGTCGATACAATGGAAAAAATCAACTGTTCCTCGAGTCATTGATTGCTTTGAAAAGTGCTATCGGCGACCACCATCATTCATATGGTGGTGCCCTTCTGTACCACCACCACCACAGTCGATGAGCGCTCGTGGCACTTTGTGTTGGTCGCTGCTCCTATCGTTACGTGCGGCTTGCCAGTTATGTAAAATTGTATAGCGATGGCCTCGTTTCCATGGTCGAAGCTGTTCAAGTGTGAAATTGTGTCCTCTTTTCGCTTTTCCCCTCAGCCTTATCACTCTTCTCAAACCCTCTGCGATTGTGTCTGTACCTCCTCAGCCAAAGCTTTTATTTGGCCTTATTAGTCTTATTAGTTTCTATCCAGAACTCGGAACTACGGCAAGATCGTGACAACTTGGAATTGCAACTGGAGAAGACTCGACAGCAGTTGTACGAACTGACCAAAGGGAAAAGCGCGGAAGCCTTCGAACAGGACCTCATAGACCTCAGAGTGAGCCTTGGTTTCCATTTCCTCGATAAAGTCCATAGCTTATCTTCTTCATGATAGGAGAAGAAGGCGCGCTTGGAAGTGCAGGTAATCGAAACAGAGACGGAAATGGAATTACTGAAAGGGAAGATTGACTCAGTTTCGCAGGAGAATGAAGACTTGAAAACGAAGGTAAGTAACCTCACTGAGCAATGCATTGATCCTTATTAAAACTAACCGCAGTCTGGCGACGGGGGGGGGCATTTTGTACTTTTGCTGCTTCACTGCTTCCGGCTTAGAAATCTCACTCTGGTGAGAACCTGTGAGCTTTTGTGAAGCTGGAGCAAGCTCATCAATCCCCTTTTGGCTGGTACAGTTTCACGGCTTCACAAAAATCCACAGGTGTCCAGTTGATGGCTCGGCACGTCAATGGGGAGCAGCGAAAGTGCAAAATGCCCCCCCCCACCCTTCCCATCGCCGAACTGCGCCTCAAAGTTATTTATTACAGGTGGGACAGATAAGACCGTTTGAAGATGAATTTCGACGTCTTCGTGATGAAGTTGAAGAGCTGCGAGTGAAAGAAGCTGATCATGCAAAGTTGCAACAGGCCTACGAACAACTGAAGAATAAGGCCAAGGACAGTAGTAACGATCGCGCGGAGGTGTGTTTAATTATTATTATAATGACTCCATGTAATTAATAATAGACATAATGGCCATGAGAGTGTTCACAAAATCGCTGTCCACCAAAATGCTAGCTTATGGTGATGAGTTTTGTTTTTTTTCTCAATTGTACTGATCGTCCAAGTGTTGGGAAGTGCTGACTTGTTTCAGCTGTTGGTTCTCCGAGAGAAAGTGAAGTCCTATGTCGAGCATGGAATGTTACTTGAGGACGAACAACGGAAAAATAAGGTTTGCGAAGATTATTTTCTAAGGAAGTTTTCATCGGAGGGTTGTTCTCAAGAGTTCTGAGTTATCACAGAGGAAAAATTTGGCTCTAGACAGGAACCCAACCTGTTCCATCCCCCCTCCTCTTCCGGGTCGAAGGTCGCCTTGACCCAGCATTCTTCTGATAACTTTCGCGCTGCCAGTTGTAGCGATATCTCAATCAGGGCACATCCT